CAGCTGCAATCACCACCCTCAATTACAGAATCGCAGAACGGTTTGGGTTGGAAGGGACCTTGACGCTCATCTGCTTCCAACCCCCTGCCATGAGCAGGGACATCTCCACCCAGCCCAGGGTGCTCATGCCCTACCACTCCTTGCCCATGTAAAAAAGCCCGGCGTCGGCTCATCGCTGCAAGGCGCGGGGAAAGGGCCACTGCCGGGAGGCAGCAACAAGCCGGCACCACCGCCTAACTCACCCAGCCAGAGCTACTTTAACCTACGCAGTGGAAACCATTTATATTGCAATAGTTTTGGAAAGGGCTACCAAGGAATTAGAAACCAGTACAACTCACCCTCATAACAAACCACTCGGCAGAAGCCACCTCTCATCTAGGAGATACAGAATCCCAACATGGTCGGGGTTGGAAGGGACCTCTGTGGGTCACCCAGCACAACCCCCTGCCCAAGCAGGGTCACCCAGACCAGGCTGCACAGCACCGCGGCCAGGTGGGGCTGGAATATCTCCAGAGAAGGAGACTCCACAGCCTCCCTGGGCAGCCTGGGCCAGGGCTCCGTCACCCTCAGAGGGAAGAAGTTCTTCCTCGGGTTCAGCTGGAGCTTCCTGTGCCTTACTCCTTACTAAGGACACAGCCTGCTAAAGGAATCGGGCCTCGTAACGCTTATATTTCTCAAAATAGAAATAAAAAATCAAGACACCTACAGATATAATCTGAGCATGCATTTGGGTATCCATGCAGCTTTGGATGGAACTCTCTTTCGAAGGTCTGAAGTAAACACAGCTCTTGGGGAGCACCAGGGCAAGGCTGCTCACAGCAGAGCAGCCGGCTGCAGACGCAGCAGCTGAAGGCACGAATTCCGGCGCTCTCCAGACAGGAGGAAGGCAACGGTGGAAGCCCAGTCCTTGCTGCTTGTCCCGGACTATTCCACACATCTCTGAGTGGTCTGGGGAAGCGGTGCCTGCGCTTCCCACAGCTCGTGCTGGGTGACCAGCATCTCCCCGGCCGGCTTTGCAGGGCTACGGCTGGACTGCAAGAGAGCAGGAGAAACTCCACGCGAGAGAGCACGGCATGCAGGAGGGGGAGAGGCAGCTGTAACAGTGCCATGCCCCAGGTCAGCACGTCCGACCGAGAAACGCCTGCGGATAACGCTCTGCAAGCCGTTGCTCAACACTCGAGAGCGGTCAACAAGGAAACAGCTTTTTTTTTTTTAAAATCCCTTAAACTAAGAAGCAGAACGGATTTATTGCTGTACAAATGCACCTTGAACATCACGTGTAGTTCTGGTCGCCTTTACCGTGGCAGGGAAGGGAGGTGACGCCAGTAAGGTGCAACAGCTTCTGGGAAGCTCAGCTGTACCTCTAAAACAACTCTGCCAGCCCAGCCCACCAGCCCTCTGGCCCAGATTCAGATCTCTGCCTTGGCACCAGCTCTGCGAGAGCGCTGCTAACACTCACTCGCTGCCTGGTGCGACACCGTTGCTCGGTACCCAAGCTGTAAGCAAAACTGGAACAGTATCAGGGGATTTTAACAAGGAGCCAAGCTCGATTCCACAGCGTGGAAAAAACCCTCAAGGGAAGTCTTCTCTGTTACCTTGTATTGACGAAATGCTGAAGTTCTACCCAGAGAAGACCAGGGTGAGCGAATGTGCTACTCGCGGTCAGTTTTCAACCCCGCAAACAGCGCGGGAGCAGGCATGAAGACCCACCACAGCCCATTTCAAATCGCTCTGAAACCAGCCTGCAGCGCTCAGAGTACCCACGTTTTGGCCCAAGCTCTTCAGGAGCTCCAGCCTGGGGGCAGGAGGTGCAGTCTTGCAAACACTGGCTCGGAACAGAGTCTCGCAGTCAGTCTGGGCCTAGGTGAAGATGTTTCTCCAGCCCAGCACCCTGCGTTCCAGGCAGCGGGCACGGCTAGTGGTTCCCATCGAGGACCTGACGCCGTACGACAGTCCCGCCACGCATCAGCCACGGCTCGTAACGCAGGCACGGAGCAGCATGGGCCACAGACTCGCTCCAGATTTCCAAACCCACCCAGCAGCAGGTGACGCTCCCTCCTCGGCCGCCGGACAGGACACACAAGCTCGGCTGGGGATGCTTTTTCAACTTGAGATGCCACGGCTCTCGCAGAGTTTGACCGCCCTGGGGACAGGGCAGCAGGTCCCGGCCGGGGTCTGCAGCCAAGCCCACCCTGGAGACCCTCGGCTACGACCCCCCGGCTCCATCGCACCTTCAGGCTGCGTGCCTGGCACCCGCACACCCGGAGCAAACACTTCCTCCAGGCAGCACGGGAAATCTGTGGAGTGAACTGAAACCAGCGTCTGGGCAAGCAACCCTTTCCCCTTTTAAATTTCCTCTTTTACTCCCGTGTCAGCTCCCCAAGCGCCGCGGCCACCGTCACCCCAAGCCCCGCATGCCTGGGGTGGACCCAAGGTTTTTCTGGGGGGTCTTCACGGCCCTTCTCGGCCTTCACACGCCCCAAGCGGAGATGAGAAAAGCCTTTAATAGGAGTTAAACAACCGAGCGCTGGCTCAGGCCAGCAGCAAAGCTACACGCAGCTCGCGATATCCACTGCTGCTTCACAGAATCCCACCATGGCAGGGGTTGGCAGGGCCCTCTGTGGTCACCCAGCCCAGCCCCCTCCCCAAGCAGGGTCACCCACAGCAGGCTGCACAGCACCGCGTCCAGGC